ATTTTTTTTTATTTTATTAAATTTTATTAGTTTTAATGAACATTTACAGGGATTTTGGGTTTTCATTCCTTCATTACTGCACCATTTTCTCTACCCTCCTCCCCAGTTTGTTCTTCTTCCCCGCCATCCGAATGTCTGTTTTAATTGTCCAATTGCCACAGTGTTTGTCAAAGTCAGTTCAAGGTTTTGTATTTTTTTTAAAAAGAAAAAAGACAACTGTAGAAAGTAGTTCTAACATGATTTGCTAATATTATAATGTAAATTAATTCAACTTTGTGACTAAAAATGAAGGCTCAATAGGAAATACCACTGGTGGAAATTTGTTATGAAACTGCTAATACTTTTTTGTTTAAAAAAATTTCAAAACATTGCATTTACTGATTCTCTTCCTTAAATTGTATTTTTTTTCCATAACTTTTATTGTTGACACAGAAGTCTTATATTTAAGAAAAACAGATGGTGATGTATTGGGAAGGATGTGAAAATGGTCATCACTTAGTAAGTTTTAAATGAAGACTTACCAAGAAATTATTTTATTTCCCTAATTTTTAGTCATTATTCAGTTATACATAGTACATTCACTAATACATAATATCCACCCAAATAAAAGGGATTTAGAATGAAAGAAGTTCACCAGAGTATAGAGAATTCTAATTGGGTCTTTTTAAAAATTATTTCAAAAGGGATGACTTGAGAACATTACTTTGAATTGTACTCACTGTTTTAAAATATGAAAGAGACTTAAGTTGCATAGCATTTTAATCAGCTTGCAGATAATCTGTTATCTACAATGTTGTATTGGGACTTCAAAATGAGTCTGAAAGTTGAATGTTAAATTTCTGAAACTTTGAGACATTTAATCTGTTTCATTAATTGTCTAAGTTTAGTTAGTTATTAAAAAGATTATAGTATTCAAGGGAGTTCTAGTGGCAAAAAGCTACACTGCAATCCCAAAGATTTGTGATTCTAATCTACCAGATGCTTTGCTGGAGAAGAAGGGGCATTCTCCTCCTGTGCCAGTCAGATCTGATTCAACGGTATACAACAAGGAAAAAAAAGGTTTATAATAGTCATATGGTTATAGTTGATGATAGATAATAGTTTCCATTTCACTCATAATTAAATGTAAGTAGTGTGCCTAAAATGCACAACAAACCCAGAATAACAAGTTCTAACTAATTGAACTTCCATCATTGTCTAGGAAATTTTGAATTTTTCCATTGTTTTAATAATTTATTATGTGTGGTTTTTTGTGGGATTTTTCCCCCCTTTCCACAGGCAAGAACTAGTTGCAGAACTGGACCAGGATGAAAAGGACCAGCAAAATACATCTCGTCTGGTACAGGAACATAAAAAGCTTTTAGATGAAAACAAAAGCCTTTCTACTTACTACCAGCAGTGCAAAAAACAACTAGAAGTCATCAGAAGTCAGCAGCAAAAGCGACAAGGCACTTCATGATGCTCTGGGACCCTTGTATTTTAAAATATGCAAAAAAAGACTGTTATTTTTGTTTGTTTTTTAAAGGAAAGAAACGTGCTTATAATGACAGTTCATGAGTGTTAGCTTTTTTGGCGTGTTCTGCCTCTATTTGCTGCATTTATTTCATCATTTTTTTTCCCTTATTCTTATGGTGGACATGCAACTCATCTGTCTCATTGCATAACATGAGGACATCTGTGACTTGAATAAGCAGCAGTTCTTAACGTCAAACACATGCAGTGAACTCTGGCTGTATATGCATGCACATTGTGTGAAGGCTAGGCTAACAACAACGGGGTGTCAAATTAGCTGCTATATGCAAACATTGTCTTTTTTTCCTTTCCATACTAGAGGTGGAACCTCAAGAATGATTCTGTTCTTGTATCTCATCTCAAAACATTAATAATATTTTTTTCAAAAATATGGTGTATACCAAGTTAAAGACAGGGTATTGTAATACTAGAATAATTGGTGATACATCACAGAAATAAAGAAACTTTAGGTATAGTTAAAAGTGAGGGCCTTGATGCCAGCATTCTTGGATCAGTACTGAACTTAATTCCACCTGTAGAATATTTAAAGGTAAGTGGTGGCTGCTGTAGTTAAAAGCAATTTTGCCTGGTTTCATTCACCAAAAATCAGGTTATTGAACAAAATGGAACTATCCTTTTTGTTAAGGGGGATAAAAATATCTAATTCTCTCATTGATGAATATTAAAACTGTAAAGCTTTTATGTCTCTAATATTAATCTATTAAAAGGCAGATGATCTTACTACAACTTAAATAATCATTCCTTCTGCAATGATTATTGAAATTGTTTTACTGTCTATATGAAACTGAAAGAGAAATAGTGGATAAGGAAATATTTGTCCAAGCTAAAAGCTAAGACTTGCATTTCTCTTCACGTACCAGTGAAGAATAAACCTGGTAAATCAGAAAAGGCTGGTAAGGAAGTAAATGCATCAGGTTTTCTCCTTCTCCATACATGGATTGAATATTGACTTTCCTTGCAAGCTCTCCAGGAGTGCCTGCTGCCTTTCAACACTTTTAAGAGAACATTTCAACACTTACAGAGAGAACATTTATATTGTTAACTAGTAACTTTGCTACCAACTTGAAAATAAAATAATAAAACTTCATTGAATTAATAGACTATAGAAGCTCTATTTTTTCAGTTGGCATTAAAATCAATCATGTTTTGATACCAATGTAAGGTGTCTTTTAAATAAGGATGTCATTGACCTCATTTTTATAGCATTAATGTATTGTGAAGAGAAAATTTTTACAATGGAAATATAATTGCTGTGATTATTAGAATTGTGATTGTGTTGTAGCTCTATTTCAGATAAACAAGTTGGTCTAAGACGTTATCAGAACTATTCTTAAAAAAAACGCTAAAGCAGGTAATCTTTTCTTCCATTATTTACACTCCCTTACTCCACTTAATTTTTTTAATGTATTCCCTGTGTATACAAAGCAATAAAGGTAATGGGCAGTTTGTACTAAACTGTGTCATTTTTAGCTTCTTCACAATTTAAGAACAGGAGTCCGTAAATTACTAAGGAGTTCCATTTCTAAGTTTGTCTTTTAAGTTAAATTTGTACCTAAGTCAGAAGTACTAGGTATGGTTCATTTCTAAATCAGTTAGTCAGATGATTACCACATGAAAAAAACACTTCCAGATACATTAAAAACCATTTTCTTGTAATAAATACAGTAACAATAGCACTGATTTGATGCACGTTACAAAGTGGTGCCATCAGATGTACCTCAGTACAAACTATTGTATGTACCACAAATTTTTAAAATAATAGGCTTTACAGGGGTTGCTTTGGGACTACACGTTGAACTTAAGTCAGATTACCCCAATACTGCATATATTCGAAAGCTTCTGAAAAGTGAATGGCTTCCATTGTTTCACTTAAATAAAAAGAATGTTGAAGTGCCATATTATTTTATTACTTAGCTGAAAACTATGTTGAGTTCAACATATTAATAGTTCATTAAAATCTTGCATGAAATAACAAGGAAAACACGTTGTCCAGAGCATTTCTATGTGCATGTACGTGTGTCATGGCACCAGAAGGGGACCTAGTCAGTGTTTAGAAACACAAGACCCAAACACAAATGGCTGTGGCTTGATTTTTCCACCAAGATCTGGCATTATAGATTTTATTTTTAGTCATTAATGTGTTTCTGCTGTACATAACATGAAGGGAAAATTTCCTCTTTATTACATGCAATTATTTCATTAAAAATACCTGCAGAAGTAAATGGAAGAAAAGAGTGACTTTACATTAATGATTTCGAATGCATAATAGAGCTATTAAGTAGTTGCTTTCTTGTTTACAGTGAGTCCCTTGGGATTTTCAGTACTGTAGTTGTCCTGGACATTAAGTGCAATTCAACCATACTCTTTTTAAGTATTTGCATTGCCTGTCTCATTACTTTTTAAATCCTGAGGAAAGGATATTTGGGATAATTAAAATCCACAGTGAGTCACACCACTCATGCCTTCATAGAGAGCTGTCAACATTTTTTTAAGATTCTGGTTGTACCATACTAAACTTTTTTTGGGGGGAGGGGCAAGACAAGTGGCTAAAACCCTCAGCCAAAGAAATTCACAAACTCTATCTGAATGAGTCCTAATCCCATTGCATTCTTAACTTCTAAGTAAAGAAAGCACTCTTAACCCCAAGGAACGAAAACAAATCTAACATAAGGTGAGAAATACTCCTCAGCAGTAAAAATAGCTTTTTTTAGTCATCTGGAAATAATTAAAAAATATTTACTGTCTAGCAGCGTAGCATATTAGCACGGTTTGTTCAGAAGTTGTTTACAAATGTTTGGCTGCTTTTGCTGAAGTATTTTAGAGTATTTAATGTCTTTTTCTCCGAGTTTTTCCATGTTCCTTGTTTCAGCTCTTCTCATAGTAGCAAGAGATCACAGGTCTTCCATCCTCACCGACACTTTGGCTTCCTTCTGTACATATGTGTGTGATTTTCAGCCACTGGTCCCTCTTTTTGCTTCCAGTGGTAGTAAGTTGTTTGTCATTCAGAACATTTTATGTAAGATGATGTAATGCAGAAATTCTTATGCATATGTAATGTGTACTTGAGGCTTTTTAGACTTATTTTTGTCTCTAATAAAACTAAGATTGTAATTAAAAATTTGTATGTGAAAATGGTAAATGATTTATGTCAAAAAAGATGCAGTGGGGCATTCTGTTTTAGCAGTGTGTTCACCTTACATAGAATCCAATTTTTAAAATGGAATGTATTCTTCTAATGCTCAGCATAATCATTCTTTTTAAGAAACTAGGTGATTGACCAGTTAACATATTCACCTCTGATTTGAAATTTTTGCTTAAGTGGGTGTTCTTTATAATTTCTGGGAAACCTAACTAGCATGAATTACACAAGGTTTACATTGTTAAGTGATTTCTTCTCATCAGACAACCAATTCTTCTTAACCATCAAATGCTTATGTTGTTGTTGTTGTTATGTGTCGTCGAGTTGCCTGCGACTCATAGCAACCCTATGTACAACAGCCCTAAACTCCGCTCTGTCCTGTGCCAATTGCACTGTCTCTGACACTCCCATCCCAATT